TCTAGGGCTATACCAAGGAATATCCCTCTTTTCACTTGTAGCTAATAACGACTGGTGCGATATTTTGTGGTATACAAGTAGATATCATCGTCAATATTTTCATAACCTTAGCAATGATATTGTTACATTTCTTACCCCAGCCAAAGAAATAGAGGTATCGCATGTCCACTGTGTTGAATACCTCAACAATCATTACGTACAGGAAAACTCCCTCCAGAAGCATCCACCCAAACGCTGCCAGATAGAAGTAATGGAGTAAAACAGCCACTAAGATGCACACGGACTGAAATGTGAGACCCAGAAGTAGGCTGATAATTAGAGGCTCCGAGTAAATACGCAATAGTGTAGACTGAAGTAGCGAGAGCCAAATATCTAGCGAAAACATGTCTTGAAATTTCGAGTAGAAATTCTCTCTCAGTGTTGTACATATACAGCCGTATGGTATGCTCAATTTATCCTGGAGAGATTCGAGAGGATTGGTTTTCGAAACTGGAACAACGGGATGCTATCTCAGTAGAGATCACCTTGGGCAGAAGGCCATTTGGGGAACACCGTTGTTCCTCGCTTACGAAGAACGAAGAAATATGTGATTTCAAACGTTTGTTAGCTCACCTTATTACTCGTGGCATCGATTCCGGATAAAAATACCAGTTGAGCAAGAAACAGAGCTGTGCAAAGATTTAGCCTGACTTGGATTCCTTCGGCTCTGATCTTCCTGTTTAAAAGTACTCAATAAACGAAATGGACATGACATTTTTCCACGCAACAACCCAGTGGTCTAGAGCAAACACTACTGGGGAGGAATGGAAGAAAGGTGCCTATATAGTTTGTAATATATTGTTGGGTTGTTCTCTGCTTGTGTTCCATTACTACGAAATATGTTTAAAAGTTAATTTTAATGGCTATTCCTGTGTAAAATACCTCAACTTCAGTCGAAAAAAAACGAGACATTTTGGTGCAATAGTTCTTCAATTACTAATCTCGTCTTAAAACCAATTTTTTTAGAAACAAAACAAAACCGCGCAACTAGCGTGTTCTGCAAAATAATATTTCTGATGGTAATTTACGAATCTAGAGATTTACCATGCTCTCATGTATAGGTAAGATTTTTTTTCTTTTCTTTCTTGTCTTTTAGTAGCACTCACATAAATGTCACATAGAAGAAGATAACCATTACTTCCCCAAAGAGGGACAAGGAGCAACCAATATAGGTGATGATGAGCAAAGCCCTTCTGTGCTCTGGTGGAATGCTATCCTCCTGAGAATCACGAGAAAAGAAGGAAATAGGTGGAAATGAGATAAAAAAATTACAAACTGGTTTGGAAATTATGACTTATAAGTTTTGACTTTGTTAAACATGGAACTTGCTCCATAATTAGTCCATCCATAAACGAAAGGGGGAGAATGCAATAAGCTTAGAAAATGCCAAAAAATAATTCGAGACACAATCACGAGAACTGCAAACAACCTTAGGAGGTTGTGCGTAAGCGACACACATGTTTTTTTTTCCTGAGTTCCCGACAAAGCTAATTAATAGAATTGAAAAGAACGTTTATAACATCACACCTCAATGTCCTTGTATTGCATTAGAACTGCGAAATTCGTGAGGTGGTTACAACTGCAAACGGTCGATAGCATCGAAGAATCATTCAGTACCATGCAACCATCAGTTGACCATGAACCGTTCGACGAGCTAAAAATCAGTTGATCGTAAAATTTGAACAAGAAAGAAAGAAAGAGGCAAAGAAAAATTAAAACCGGAACTTTCACGAGCACCAAATATAAACAAGTATATAAATATATACCAGCAGATTGATGGAATAATCAAAATGACCCACCTGAAATCCTCCATCCAGAAGACACATTTCCTTTCAACAGCTTTTGGGTCAATGCCCGTCTACCGGCGAAAGAAGCGTAATGGTGTTATGATGTGAAATGGTCCACGAAATGAATATTACTTTTCCATCTAAGCCCAATTACAATCCTAATTATCTAGCCGATAATTGCATCAAAAAAACAATATAGTTTATTTTACCTCGTTGTGACTAAAATGAATGATGATTTTATTTTGAATAGTTTCATTCTGGGGAGGGTCAAGTTTAACTCCCACGACATCAGAGATCAATCTGTAGCTACAAAGATAAGATAACAAAATTGTGTGTTTATTAGAGCAGTTGAGTGTCAAATAGCCAATCAGGGATTGTATATTTTTGCTTCACTTTGTGTCGAGATTTTTCCGGAAAACTTGCACCCCTCTCTCAATCAATCGGATGCAAAACTAACAGGAATCATCATTTTGTTCTCTGCGTTTTGCCGCAGTTTGGGAAGTTTTCTTGGTTTTAGTTTGAGGTCTTATTGGTTACTAAAGGATATTTTTGGTTTTAGTTTTACGACACTCAATCAAAAAACGCTCGATCACATCAGTAGCTAATTTTACATGAATATATGTCCTGACGTTGCAAACTGAAAAATTAAAGTTTAAAGGAGGTTTCCGAATACAAAGTACTGTTTACCGGTACCGGTAAAGTTTTATCATATCAAAATCTTCTCTTCCAATTTACGCCCTCACTTGAGTCGCTAGTGAAGAACAAACAATTCAAACAGTAATTTTCCACTCATCCAGAAAGGGCTCTCTCAACATACACTTAATGGGTTCATCTGATTTCGTACCTGCTTCTGTTATAAGTCCAAAGGCTGTCTTCATTACTTGCCTTCCGGTGCAACAATACTGCGATGACCCTTCCTTGAAGGACGGCAAAAAAAAAAAAATTAAAAACACTACGTGAGTAGAAGCTTGCCTACTGGAACACAAACGATAACTTCGCTATTTTTTAAACACCAGCTGATCATAAATGTTAGCGCTCAGAAGAAACTCCAATATTTACCTGCGTCTTTAAACACTTTGTGGGTGATAATAATCCTGACCAATTGGCTTTCACTGCTGTTGTTATTTGTATCAAAACTCGTTTCAATATCAGTGGAAATTCTTTTGGGCACTTTTATCAACTTAGTATCTATGAAATTTCAGGGGGAAAAAATCAGAAAATTAGTACATAGAGAGCGACGAACTTTACCAAATAAGTTTTTGATCGTGGGCTATGACGCTACAGAATTCATGACGTCATCCAAGATGGCGGCCATCTTGACAGCCACCATTTTGGAACCCATTTCAAGACAAAAATAGGTTTCATTTTGGCAGCAATCGTCTCGGAATTTGATCTTAAACGACCGAATGATTCAGAGGATTTTCAAAATATTTCATTGAATTGACCTAAAATCTGACGTGTTTATTGAAGGAGACTCCCTATTTCTTTTCAGGTCGTATGTTTTTACCATACCATATCATTTTTATCAATGATACAGAAATTAATACCCGTGTTGACACAATAAGTACTTACCCGAACCTGATCCCATATCTATGAAGTAAATATCATTCCCTTCTCTACAATAGCTTTGACAGCAGTTCAGGAGAGTGTCCTCGATTTGGCAGCTACCGACCAATGTACTATTATGCTCTTCACAAGACCAGGAATATTGTAACGCCTTTGATACAACAGGAGAAGCATGAACAGTTAAAGGGTTAATTTTGCTAAGTACAACCAGCTGAACTGGAATAGTTTGCTTAAATTGAAATCACAGATGATGCTCTATTTGGTTGGGAGTAAGAATACTTTTTTTTTAAAGTGTATGAATGTATTTTACCTGCAATTTTATATGAGTTCCTTTACTTCGTGAGCACTTTGAAAGCTGCATGAGAAAAAGAAAAAGAAAATGTTTCATCGGAGTCAACTTATGAATTAAACGCATTACATTGATAAATCTTTGTTCTCAAATACGCAAAGCCACTGAATATACCATGATTTTTATTTACCAGATATTGGAGGCAATGATCTGTATAATTAGGCATAATACCATTCGGATCTAAATCACCTGGAACTGTTAAAGAAAAATGAATGATTAGCAATGGGGTCAGTTTTGTTTGCTACACCTCGGTGTAACCCTTGAGCTCCCAGAAGTGAATAACACGTAGGGTTTTTTTCACAGTTTTCAATACGTTAGTTGATAAAAGAGTGGTGAAAACGAACGCAAAGTTGTCTTCGTAATTCATTTACAGATTAATAAAGACGTATAGACCAGCTACTTTTTATGGTAATTTAGCGAGTCCAAATTGACAATAATGTTATGTCAAGGTTTCTTTTGGGGTTTTGGAATGAGCTGACTGTAATTCTTAACATTAATGATTAACTGGTACAGAAGAAAATCTTCGTAAGAAAGCTGCATTTAAAAGAAATTACATTACAGAAGTATGACATAATTGCTGAGCTACGAAGCTACACGTTGATATTTAGGCAAATGTTATCGAAGCCATGTAAATATTGATAAAGATTGGTAGACCTCACCGATATAGGAGGCTACAACAGGAAGTCTAACGCTGCAATCCATCGACTTCAGCTTCATCGCAGAGTTACTTATGGCATAACAACGGTCCAATGATGTTGTGTTATCCAGGAGTTCTAAGGGTACCTGAGCTGTGATATAAGGTACACGCCCCCATTGAAACGAACCATTGCTATTGAGTTTTAGAGCAGTCCAGTAAGCAGAATCGAGGGATAACTCGGGTTGCACGTCACAAAGCTGTTCTATACTGGAAATTCTTGCCAGGGCAGAGTCATTTGCAATAACTGCTGCATTCCAAGTAACTTTAGGTGCATCAAGTGCTTCGTAGACCACATAAGAGGAGTGAGTTTCTGAAAAGTGATGAAAATTTTTTTTTTTAAGCTTTGCCTTTACAAATGGTAATGTATTTTGAAGTCAGGGTTTTTATAATTGAGAAAATTTACAATTGATTCAATATTTTTCACGATTTCACAATTTCACCATCTCAGATGTCAAAAGTAAAAAAAAAAAAACAACAACAACACACAAACAGATTGACAAGATACCACAAATTGTATCAAAATATCTGACTGCGTTTATTACTCTGTCGTTGAAGAACTACAAAATCAGTTCAATCCCCCGACAATCAAATGAAAGATCGTTATTTCGCAGAAGCCTAAAAAACCTCTTAAATTTTGCATTAAACTGTGCAAAACAACCTTTACATTGTAGATTACATCTATTAACTACACTATACCCTGCTGGCATCCTCTTCTTAGAGTAAAATCAATGCAATTCATGTACGCACTCGTGCATCAAAAGGCAGATTTCCTGTACAATTTATTAATCATCATCTATTTTAGATACCGTGCCTTTATGAATGCAGAAATCCGCTGCAAAACCAAATCCAAAATTATGCTTGGTTCATTTTAAATGAAATCAAATAACATGCAAATTACCCTTCCTATTCAAGACCAGTTCCACTCTTTCCGTCTACCCACTAAATAGAATATTTTTCTCCTAATGCAACAGAAAAATAGTGTTAATCATTTATTCATTGCTATCAAATGCGAGATTTATCGTAACAAAAGAGCCTGCAAATTTAAGATTTATTTCACGTAATACATCTTCCCCGATTTAATGCCGCCTATGACATAATTATAGGAAGCATAATTGGCGTGATGTCTTATTGTGTAGACGTAGGCATGGCGCGTATCTTCTGCAAACACTGTATGCACCCCTAAATAGATAAATAGCATTTTTACCGAGCGTTTATTTCCGTTTTTTTTTTTGTTGCGTTTTTTAGGAACCTATACTAAAACTACATGACAACAACTGTTTCTTACTTAGAATTTTACGCTAAAGGAATTGGCATATTATGGAAAAATAACATTAACTCTTGATCACAGACAGTCAATTTTAAGTTCCTTATGCAATAACGAGAAACATTGAATTGATATGCTTATTGTGATATTTACTGTTCAAAACAGACGAATCCAAGATAAACTGCGATTAGGTTTGGAGTAAAGATTATAAAGTGAAGCGGATCCTTAACTAATGGGATTTCGCTGAAGTTAAATAGCATATGATAAGATAACGAAAGTAGATTTGATTCAGAGCGGTAAAATAGCTTGAAGATGACAGTGATGCCGTAAAACTTCTGGAGTTTCGAGGAGAGCTTTGTTACGACGATCATTTCCAACGTCTATGATTTTAGATTTTTTCTACGGATTAAGTTTTGAAGGCACTTGATATTTCCTGAATAACAAATACTAGCGCTAAAGGACCATCCATGTCAAAACAAACGGTTCACTAGAGGGTTATATTTAACAATCGAAAAATATTAACCAGTGACAGAGACCTGCTTTAAATAACAGGAAAAGCAAAAGAAAATAAATGAAAATGATCTAAAACTACGAAATTTTTATATAAAAACGTTCTTGTGCTGTATTTACAATTTGCCTAAAATTTCGTGTTCGCTGCAAGAAAGGCATGTCGCTTGATTGCCTTTCAGTTTTGAATTAATAATAACCGTATATCCTCTTCGTCTTCAATTAAAAGAGACTAGACCCTGTGAGCAGGGTAACTGGGATACCTCGATGGTACTGGATCCTTGGAATCAAGTGTAGTGATACTACGGGTGTCGGATTAGTATACTGAAATAGTGAGCTCAAGTCTGGCTAAGGCTAAGTCTGGTTATAAAAACATAGGCATGCTATGCATGCAAGAGTTATTTTTTGTAGGGTGGGTGGATTACTTGTGGTCTACATTCTTACAAAAGGAAAGAAGAGTATTAACGTGGAAAAGAACGAAAATGTCGAATTACCTCACACACAGGTATTTTGTGATAGATTATGTGTGTTGTGCGAATACATGTAACCAAAAACAAACTGTATTGGTGCCACAGATACCTGTTAGTACAAAATGCAGTCAGCAGACCGGATACAAAATATAGACTGGAGACTGCAGAGTGGGTACAAAATGCAGACTGAGAATCTGAAGAGTTTTTACGTCTGGTAAATAATAACATGTCATCTTACAGCTTACCGAGCGTCACGCAGTCGCTTTTCCTCGATCAGCCTTCACGATTATTTGCAATATTGTGGAAAATTCCTGGCCCATTTCTTGATGAAAATCGATCATAATATAATTTCAAGCCTTCAATATACTCTTCTTACTTTGTGAGCGAGTTGGTTTGTGTGATGTCTGTACAGATTTTACCAACGTAACAAAAGTAGATGATGTGAATAACAGTGATGGTAAAGCAAGCTTAAAACGGCAAAAATCACCAGAAACTACAACGGTTACACAATTCGCGACTCAATCCAGTCCAAAATTACCGCTCAATAACATCTTTTAGTGTGGATAGGCCGCGAACAATACGATTTGTGTATGCGTCGGTAAGTATTTCGAGCGTTTGCGCTATAATGCTTCAGGTGATCGTAATCAGAACACGTTGAAATACAAAACGACCGACAAAAGAGTTTTCTAAGCAAAAATCTCGTGTTCGTCATGTGACCCGGACCTGTCCGTGCATGACAACGTCAATCATCATCAAGATAACACGTGATCAGCATGTGAACACCTTCACCCTCATTGGATCACAGTTAGTTGTCATGGTGTTGAGGGCCCAATTACCACTGGGTACTATTGCGCAATTTTTCCATTTTGTGGCGGAGGGAAAAAAAAAAAAACTAGACCCTGTGAGCAGGGTAACTGGGATACCTGGATGGTACTGGATCCGTGGAATCAAGTGTAGTGATACTACGCGTGTCGGACTAGTATACTGAAATATTGAGCTCAAGTCTGGCCAAGGGCATACACCTGTCTCAAAACATAGCCATGCTATGCATGTAAGAGTTATTTTTTGTAGGGTGGGTGGATTACTTGGAACATTGTAAGTGGTCTACATTCTTACAAAAGGAAAGAAGATTATTAACGCGGGAAAGAATGAAAATATCGAATTACCTCACACACAGGTATTTTGTGGTAGATTATGTGTGTTGTGCGAATAAATGTAACCAAAAATAAACTGTATTTGTGCCACGGATACCTGTTAGTACAAAATGTAGACAGCAGACTGCAGACCGGATACAAAATATAGACTGCAGAGTGAGTACAAAGTGCAGACTGAGAATCTGAAGAGTTTTTACGTCTGGTATGTAATAACATGTCATCTTTCAGCTTACCGAGCGTCACGCAATCGCTTTTCCGCGATCAGCCTTCACGATTATTTGCACTATTGTGGAAAGTTCCTGGCCCATTTCTTGATGAAAATCGATCGTAATATAATTTCAAGCCTTCAACATAGTCTTCTTACTTTGCGCGCGAGTTGGTTGGTGTGATGTCTGTACAGATTTTACCAATGTAATAAAAGTAGATGACGTGAATAATAGTGATGGTAAAGCAAGCTTAAAACGGCAACAATCGCCAGAAACTACAACGGATACACAGGGTACGAGTAAGTTTTATGGATTTTTCGAGAAAAATCTTCATATTTCAAAATATTTATCGTTGTAAATCGACCATATTTCGTTCCCTATACTTTTCCTTATAACGTGGTTAAATTTTCAACGGTTCCTAGAATAACTTACTCTGGGTCACACAACGCGTGACGCGTTCGTGAATTATCGTTGGCTCTTTCTCGAAACGTGACCTTGGGTCGCCTGTGACAAGACAATTGCGTAAACAATACTTGACATAATAACATTATACACAAAAAACACGGGATTTTGGATCATGTATTTATTAAAAAAGAATATCCATACAACTACAATGAAAACAAACATAAGCTTCACCTTTCTGATCGTGAAATTAATACCATTCGCACTGTTATCGTAGCTACGTTCCCTGGCATCAAGTGAATCTAACATGACATGTTTCTTCACTAGCAGTTTGCATCCATTTGAATTTTGTTCTTCAGTCTCACGGTAGTAGTGTTGTTCAATAGATTGCATAGAGTATATGCAGTTTGGTTTCAGATTTCAGATTTTGCTTTTTACAACGAGTTTACGTTTTCAACTAAGACATTGGCATACTTGGCATACAAGACATATAAGGCATTCAATGCTTTCATGGCTTTCAAGCGTTCGCGATTCTGTCCGATCCAAAATTATCGCTCAATAACATCTTTTTGTGTGGATTGGCCGCGAACAATACGACTTGTGTATGCGTCTATAAGTATTTTGAGCGTTTGCCCCATAATGCTCCAAATGATCATAATCCAATAACGTTGAAATACAAAACGACTGACAAAATAGTTTTATGGGCAAAAATCTCGTGTTCGTCATGTGACCCGGCCCTGTCCGTGCAAGACAACGTCAATCATCATCAAGATAGCACGCGTGATCAGCATGTGAACACCTCATTGGATCACAGTTAGTTGTCATGGTGTTGAGGGCCCAATGACCTCTGGGTACTATTGCGCAATTTTTCCATTTTGTGGCGGAGGAAAAAAACAAAACTAGACCCTGTGAGCAGAGTAACTGGGATACCTGGATGGTACTGGATCCTGGCCAAAGACACACACCTGTCTCAAAACATAGGCATGCTATGCATGCAAGAGTTATTTTTTCTAGGGTGGGTGGATTACTTGAAACTTTGTAAGTAGTCTACATTCTTACAAAAGGAAAGAAGATTATTAACGCGGGAAAGAATGAAAATGTCGAATTACCTCACACACAGGTATTTTGTGGTAGATTATGTGTGTTGTGCGAATAAATGTAACCAAAAATAAACTGTATTTGTGCCACGGATACCTGTTAGTACAAAATGTAGACAGCAGACTGCAGACCGGATACAAAATATAGACTGCAGAGTGGGTAAAAAATGCAGACTGAGAATCTGAAGAGTTTTTACTTCTGGTATATAATAACATGTCATCTTACAGCTTACCGAGCGTCACGCAATCGCTTTTCCGCGATCAGCCTTCACGATTATTTGCACTATTGTGGAAAATTCCTGGCCCATTTCTTGATGAAAATCGATCGTAATATAATTTCAAGCCTTCAACATAGCCTTCTTACTTTGCGCGCGAGTTGGTTGGTGTGATGTCTGTACAGATTTTACCAATGTAATAAAAGTAGATGACGTGAATAATAGTGATGGTAAAGCAAGCTTAAAACGGCAACAATCGCCAGAAACTACAACGGATACACAAGGTATGAGTAAGTTTTATTGATTTTTCGAGAAAAATCTTCATATTTCGAAATATTTATCGTTGTAAATCGACCATATTTCGTTCCCTATACTATTCCTTATAACGTGTTCAAATTTTCAACGGTTCCTAGAATAACTTGCT